AGAGCCCATTCTGAAAACAGGATGTACTGAGAGTTTGACAGTTCTGATCTCACAATGAGCCAGAGAGATACCTCAGCCGACTGTAAGTACAAGCACTGGAAGAAAGCCATAACATGTATGCCTTTGTCGAAAAATAACAATGCATTTTAAGTCAGGTGAATGTGATATATGAGCTCAGTCCTTTGGTGCAGGCCCCACTCTGTATTGGCTTGTGTAGGTTGTAATTGTGACCCTAATGTAGTTGCTGCTGATTCATAAAGTAAGTAAAGCTGATGATGAAAACCATTTCTTAATTCAATGATACCTACTCATGAGTAAGTCTTTGTCAGACCTAAACCTTTCCCATACAGGGTTGATCCTGACTCTAGACCACTCAGTTTGCATCCTTTAGGCGGAAGAGCAAAATAACCACCTTAGTCAGAAGGTTGGGAGTGTCATGAAATAGCAACGGCTACTAATAGCTATTAACTCATCATGACTGTATTTTTAGCAATCAGGATTTGGAGTTGTGTGATCTTCTACCTACAGTGCAAAAAACCCCTAACAAACTGGTCTTGGGTACTATATTTATCGTGACTTTGGGGGAAGGCTATTTTACTGCTGTGCCTCACACAGCAAAATCTCTTTGGTTGGCTCTTTTGTGCCAAGTGTTGCTTTGTGTGTGTGTGTGTGGGGGGGAGGTGACAAGATAGCTAGACCTGATCTAACACACACACACACACACACACACACACACACACACACACACACACACACACACACACACACCTTTTTGTGCCTGCTGATATAATCTTGTTCTCCTTGAGACACAGTCTCCTTGGTTTTCTAGCAAATGGGGAATTATAAAAAGCTCACCAAGATGAATTCTGACTGAGATACTCATCTACAGGGTGTTACTAGTATATGTTGATAGTATTTCAGATGAATTCCGTACATCTCTAGACGTTGAATCTGTTGGTAGAGAGTGCAATATCTGGAGATACCAACAGCTTTCTTAGATAATTGATTAAATCACTATGATTACAGTATTTCTTTAATGTAATACTGAATCATTTACCTGCCTCAGCAGTATGAGAGCTACTTTAATAAATCACTGGAGAGATATTTCTGAACTAGCTTTAAATATTAAAATAAAGTTGAAAATATACCATATAAGCTTTCTCCCCTTTTACTCCTCATCTATAAAGGTCTTGTTCTCCCTCTTCATAATTACTGGTTGCCATACTAGCTGCAACATCCTTAAGTAATTATCAGTCATGAGTTTCAGGAAATAAATAAATCTTAGGTAGCTTCTACAGTTCAAAACATTTGACTTCTTAAGTCCCTCATTATAACAATGAGAAAAGTATTCTGGCATCCTCAGTGGCACAGTTTTCTGTGCACTGTGAAAGTCTATACAGAAGCTGGCCAGGCACCTTTGCCTTGTTAACAACAACAACAACAACAACAACAACAACAACAACAACAACAACAACAACAACAACAACAACAACAAACAACAACAACAACAACAACAACAGTGAAAACAGAACTCTTCCATTTAAAGAGAACGTTTGCCTCTTTGTCATGATCAATTGTTCTGGAGATTGCAGTTCTTTAGAAAGCTGCCGTATAATGAATTTATAATTTGTAACAGTTGCTGTTGACTGGCTGGCCTTAGTTTTTGATTTACTTGTATTTAAACTAGTTCTGTACAAGTTCCAAATTAAAAGTACATTTTTAAGAAAAAGATTTTGATTTTTTTTGTAAGACTCTTCTTACGTTATATAAAAAATATTGACAAGATTCCAGTGAAATTCTTGTGATTCTATGTTTAACTATATCAATTTATCAGACTGAGATATAATAGCAAGCATATGTCTTCTTTTATTAATTATATAATATAACCTTAAATTAGGAAGACACAATCCTCCTGCTTTTTGAAATTTATACCATCGTTTATTGTTAACCCTTGCTTTTAATCTCCATTTGGAGCAATGGACAAAAGACTGAGTAAAAAGAAGACATAAATGTAGAGAATTCATGAGATTTGAAGAAATAGTATTACAAAAGGAAAATGCAGGTGAAAATAGGCTAATGAAATGGACAGTAAGTATAATTTATAAAATACTATTGAATGCAGAGGATCAATAGGATCTTAAAACATTATGGAAATAGGATTTGGGAAAAGAAATAAGTACTGGGGTTTGGAATAAAATATGAGATGCCCACTAGGCTGCTGAAAAGGAAGAGGAGAGCAGATTTTTCTGTATTTAAGCTCCGTTCTCATCCTAAAAATAAGTTTTGGTTTTAAACCATGGGCCGATTATACTCTGGCTTTTAATTCTACTTAGGTGTTTTTGTGTCCTGATCCATTTTGTGCCTGGCAAGAGCTCCAGCTGATGGACTTTGAAGTTTCAATTTTCAAATGAACTGTGAGGAGAAAGGAGGCAAGGCTCCTTTCAGCCCTTGCTGGTGGTCCACGTCACTTCCCAATGGTCATGGAGGATTTCTGTACATCTAGCCCTTTTGTAGACATGGTGGGGGGTGGGTGTGGGGCTACATTAGATACAGAACAGGAAAAAGAGACCTAAAAAGCAGGGAAAAGAGCCAGAGAGAAGAAGGAGGGAGGACTCCTGAGAGAGGAGGAAGAGAGAGAAGATAAAAAAGGAACCAGATAGAAAAGGCAGGAAGGTTCCAGGGATGTTGGTAACTCTCAGGGTGTGAGTCACGAGACGGAGTCTTTGGTACTAAGTCCCCGAGTCCCAAGCCCCAAGTCCGAGTCTTTATTTAAAAAAAAAAAGAGTGTGGGTGGGTTCCAAATCACTAGTTGAGTCCAAGTCATTGGAGGGGAAAAAAACACAAGTCAAGTCTGAGTCAAGTCACTAGTCCAACTTAAATCTGACTTGACAGCAAGTCCTGTGACTCAAGAACTCATCCCTGGAAGGTTCTAGAAAGGCAGGAGAGGAAGATAGAAACTAGAAAGACGTGAAGGAAGAAATAGAAATTAAAGTATGCCTGTTTGACATGACGGTCTTGAAAGCAACTGACTCTCAAGAGGACTGGGAGGACAAGATCTCTGGACCAGTGAGCTGGTCATCATGAGAGTTCCAGAACAGGCACAGCAACGTTGCGTCAGTCAAGACTGCCTCGTAAGCCTTCGTTCCAGGGTGAGAGGGAAAGGTGAGCAAGGAGACGAGAGCTTCAAAAGCAGGAGGAGAGACAAATGGCCAATTCAACCTCTCCAGTCTGGTCTGGTCATCAAGATAACTCTTTCCAGACCCAGAGCTTTGGCAAAAAAAGAAGGGAGGTAAATTTATCAATTAATTAATTAATTAATTAATTAGTTAATTCGTTCGTTCATTCATTCATTCATTCATTCATTCATTCATTCATCGAACTAGTGGCAGAGCCACTACTCTGGGTGGCAAACAAATCACAATTAACACAAAGTACACAACAAACCCATTTTTTTAAAAAAAATCACATAAACAGCAGGCGAGGAAGTTCTCCCCTCGGGCCAGCAAGACATATCTTTAAACCATCCCTGCTGTGTGAAACACCTGATTGGCTTCCTAAAGCGGGCTTCCCAAATCCTAGAAGAGCAAGAGAGGGTTCAACAAGGACTAAGGGAGAAGTGACTAATGAAGCTGGATGTAAATCAGGTTTAAAGAGGAGAAGGTATTTCCTGTTATCTGTGTTCTAGTTCTCCAAGCTAGTTCAAGTTCAATAAATCCAATGTTTTATAAGCCTACTGCCTCAACGTGGTGGATTCAAACATGGGTGGAAATGACATGGGGAGCCTTGGGGTGGCGGGGGCATGCACACGAATAAATATATAATTCGTAGGTCTAGGATTCTCTTACCTGACATGATCACATAAAGACAATCATTAAGTAATGTTACCTCTTTCCCAGGCTGCCCTCCACATGGATGGCGTTCCCTGGTTGTGCAGTTGATTACGCAACTTGTCGTGTGCCTGGGTCCACAATCAGCCATCCAGGTGCTGTGAAAACAGATTGTGCAGTTGGCCTCACGTAAGGCTTTTTTCACAGTAGGACTTCATTATAGACATTTAAGGAGGATAGTGTTCGTTTACCTTAAGAGGCTGAGGGCTTTTTTTGTTTGGATGTGAATCCTGGGCTGAGCCTGCCAATGTTTAGACAGCAGCCTCCATGCCCTTATTCAAGGACAGGCAGAAGGTAAGTTTGATTGACCAATTAGTTCTCTGGCAGCTTTATGGTAGGCTGGCAAGGATTTTCAGCTCCCTGTTATTGAAGAAAAGAAGCCACAAAGAGACGCCCCCTGCAGCTCCCTGGAATGGCGTGACACTGGGAGTGAATTTTTTGTGTTGATAAGAACTGTGATCTTTGCTCAGTTCTGTACTCAGCTCAAGGGCTTGGAGAGAGAAGCCTTTGTCCTTGGCGTAAGGGTTCCAGCTGATGGATCACAGAATCGACTTACAAACTCAAGATCCGCTCACCCCTGTCCTTGGTTCCTTCCAGCTTGTCCCTTAAGTAATATGATGGAAAGAGCTAAAGAGAAGGAAACAAATTAGCAAATAAAGATGGCTTCCACTTTCTATTGACTCAGCATCCAAGCTGGTCAGGTAGTCCTTGGTAGAGAGGGCTAAGGCATTTGCACCTGAAGGGGGCAGTCGTCTGTGCTCTGCGGTATGATGTCCTGACCAGAAGGAAGTCTCAAGTAAAATACTTGGCTGTGTAATCCAAGCAAAACCCAGCAAGTTCCTTTGACATAACTTGCAGCATAAATACTGTGACTGATTCGGTGAATTGTGAAGGAAGGAGGGGGGCATGGAGAAGAAGAAACAAGAGAGAGAAAAAATATCTGTTCGATATGCCTTCTGTCTTACTGCTAGGAGAAAAATGACAATAGGCTGTCACCACTGGCATGCAAAGGACATAGCAAAAGCACTGTCGCTCACCAAGAGGCCACAACGTTTGCAGTTTGTTCAGAGATGTGAAATTGTTCCATTGCAGAACAGCCTTACCGGTGATAACATGAAGGACGGTAGTTGGACCTCAACGATGCTGTCCTTCCTTCCTTCCTTCCTTCCTTCCTTCCTTCCTTCCTTCCTTCCTTCTCTGCCTTGAATACTGTACGAGTAATGAATGTTCTCTGGAATTCAAGGGCTATTAGCTGCAACACTAATTAATAATCCCTTCTCTGCCTTGAATACGAGTAATGAATGTTCTCTGGAATGCAAGGGCTATTAGCTGCAACACTAATTAATTCCCCTTTTCATGCTGAAGGGTTTTTTTTTTTCAGACTTCAGGATGTAGCCAAGGCAGAGCAAATGCATCTTGGAAACAGTGCTTTTGAGAAGGCACGCTAGAGAAATCTCATGCCAAGTAGGGTGTTTGTGGATACCTCCCAGTGGTGCCAAAACCTCTAGCAGCCTATTTTATTTTATTCATTTAAGGAAGGCCACTTGAATTTGAAAGGTGGAGCAAAGTCTCTTCTGAATAGCCAAACCAGTGGGCACATGGGGTTAATACAGTCACTGTTGTCATTATTTTGTTGACCACTCTTGTTTTCAGATGGAGGTCACGCAGGAATTCTGGCCATTGGGCTTTTGTGTGTCCTTTGCTGGTTCGTCAGAGATGGATTGAAAGAAAAAGATGTGAGAGGAAGATATATCTTCATAACGGGTTGTGACAGTGGCTTTGGCAATGCCCTAGCAAAACAGCTCACAAAGAAGGGATTCCGTGTCATCGCAGCTTGTCTTTCTGAAAAAGGAAGTCAGGAGCTCCTGGCCTACACTTCCCAATCTCTGAAAACAGTATTAGTCAATTTAACTGATCCTAGCAGTGTTGACAAGGCTGTGGAGTTTGTGAGGGAAGAAACAGGCAATGCGGGTAAGTGGCAGCAATGGACTTTCTAGGAATACTCAGACAGTTTTGGTGACAGTAACCCACTGTGTTGTTTTTCAAAAAGCAGGGGGAGTCCTATTTGGGGTTCAGACCACATCTCAAAGAAAGGCATTCGACCATAAACAAGTGTTGCATGGTGCAGAAACACTCTCACAAGAGGAAAATGCAAGTTACCACATCCTCCACAGCACTTGTGGTTTCAGGATGTGGTAAAAGGGAATTTACTATTTCTTCAGCTCATGTTTGTTAAGGAGAAAAAAAATTACCTTTGCTGACATTCTAAATGCAAAAGAGACTTGTGTGGCACACTATGTTTGCAGACTAAACGGACACCCTGCCGGCTGAGGGTTTCTGGATGCAGCAGAAAGGTTGCTCTGCCACCAGAGATAATTGGGGGGGGGAGGGGTTTGGCAGAAGGACATTTCTGCTCTGGAGGCCCTCATGCCAGTACCACTAAAGGCATTCTCACCAACATTTAAAATAGGATGGCATATGCCTGTCTGTCTTTCTGTCTGCCTGTCAGACAGAGATGGGAAGAGCCTTTTTGGACTGGAGCACCAGAATAGCATGACCAAGGTATTCCCAGATGTTTTCTGGTAGTTGCCATATTTTTTTTTAAAAAAACCCACACACACATTTTCTACCATGGGCCAGAGGTGGTTTGGGCGCCATGAGGTCCACCCTTCCATTCCCCTGAAATGCTCATGGGCCATCTTCTTGAGTTACATCTACCTGGACCTCTCACAATCATTTCCCCTCCATTCACGCCACTGAGAGGGATTTTTTTTTCCTTTCTCCAAAGAAGTACCTTGCCGTTGCCTCCATTCTTTTAAGGATTTTCAGGGGAAGATATTTGGCATGACCCCAGTGACCACCTTGAGATAATTGGAGGCAGTGGCCTCCTGTGTCCTGCTCCCAACAGGCCAACTTCCTGGCCGGGCAGAAGTACCCCACAAGCCCAGCGAGGGGAACCCAGAAACAGAGGCAAAGCAGTCCAGGGGCTGGCCAGTAGAATCCTACATGAAATCCAAAGGCAATATGGAAAGATAGTCCAAGATCACGGTCATCCAGGTGTATCAGAGGCAAGCAAGGAGAACCTGTGGCTCATAGTCAACAACCCAAGGGTCGTACACGGTAGGAAGCCCTCAGCAGGGTCTGGGTACAAAGCCAGTTAGAGCAAACCAGAGTGTTGCGTTCAGTAGCCAACAGTCTTCAACTGGCGGTTCTTATAGCTAGGCAGTTGGGGTCCCATCCAGCATCCTCAGCCTGCTGAGGAAGAAAGTCAGCTGTAGGGTTTGGCCTGTTAGTCTCTTCAGAGAGAAGAGCTTTCCTCCAAGGAGCCCATCTCTTCCTCAGGAGATTCTTTAGAACCTGGCACTCCTCCTGGTAACTTTTCTCTGGGCTTATATTTTCATCCTGTGCTGCTTTCATCATCTGGATGGGAGGTCCAACCTAACCCTAGAACCCTAGTTACCTACAGACTCAGCCTTCTGACCACCTGAAGATCCAGAATGTGAAAGACCCAATAGTTCCCTACTGATAACCTGCTCTAGCATCTCTGGTTTCATCCTGATAATAGTACTCTTCTTTTTGGAACTCATCTGATGGGAAGCTAATGGCTTCCTACCATACATGATCCTTAGATTGTTGACATCGAAGTTTTAGACAATAATACAAACTTTTTAATGGGTTACATAGCGTAGATCATATTGATTGGATTTATTTCTGTTACCATGCAAATTTGCATTGTTTCATCATATGTAGAACTCTTCTTAGGATGGTTAAATAAAAATTATATATTGTAATTCTGGCGTCAGGACAGGTTCCTTATCCTTTCCATTTCTTCTTTTGTGTTAGTGTCATGTCTACTGGCCAGATTTTTATTGCTAAACTTCTCAACAGGGTTGTATGGCTTGGTAAATAATGCTGGAAGATCCATGCCCATGGCCCCCACTGACTGGATGGAACTGGGAGATTTCCACACCACTCTGGATGTCAACCTAATAGGACTGATTGGGATTACCTTGAAGCTCCTCCCACTTCTGAAAAAATCTAAAGGGAGAATAGTCAACGTGTCCAGTGTTCTTGGCCGACTGGCCTGTATAGGTGGAGGCTACTGTGTGTCTAAGTGGGGAGTGGAAGCATTCTCCGACAGTTTGCGGTGAGTCTCTGCAGATTTTTGAATAACGGATTTAGAGGACTGCAGAGAGGGGGGGAATATTACTGTTTTAAAAAGCTATAATTCCCAGAATGCCCCAAGCAGTATGGCTGTCAAAAAAGTAAATTTCCTCACCTTTGGAGGAATGTGTCTGTGGTCACTGCGATGAACATTCACAATTCTGGTTGAACCAACTCAAGGGGTAGTGTTGCTTTATGTGGAACAGATTTGGGACAGCCAATACTGTTTGCAATCACAAGCATACGTATTAAGGATGGACAGTTTTTATTTATTTTATTTATTTATTTAAGTACGTATTAAGGATGGACAGCTTGTGGTCCTCCAGTTGTTGCTGTATTGTAACTCCCATCATCCTGCACTTTTGGCTGTGCTGGCAAAGGATAATGGCCAGTTGTTGCTGTATTGTAATTCCCATCATCCTGAACTTTTGGCTGTGCTGGCAAAGGATAATGGGAGTTGGAACCTCATATTGTTGGAGAGCTAGATGTTCCCCACACTTGGCTTATATGCTTGGCCTACCCTTCTCCAATAGGACATCCTGCAGATGATGTGCTGGATCATAGTGCCCATCATCCCCAGCCAACATGGCCAGTGAAATTATGCTCTGTAAATTTTTAGCTACCAACCAATGATCTTTAATGCACCTGTGATGCAATGTTATGACACCTGTAGTTTCCGAGTCACCAATAGCCTTTGTTCCATTTTATTCTGTCCCGGTCAGATGTCATCAGAGGTACTCTCTGGTCTTAAGATTTGGATTCGGCCCTGAGGGTTGTCACATAGGGCAGGGAATGGTCTGTTTTCTGCTGCCCCAGAGAGTAGGATTAGATTTACAAGGTTCAACTTTCAAGAGGGTAGATTTTGATGATGCTTTAGGGGAAAATTTTGATAGAGTAGTATAGTAAGGGACTTCATTATCTGAAGGGTTGATGAACTCCACTGTGCAACAGAACGTCAAACTGGGTCGCACCGCTGGGCTGCTCTTGCTCTGGACATCCTGCATTGACTAAATGGCCTTCAGGTGCCCCTAGAACTCTATGGGTTGATGAGTAAAGCCCACTGAAATGAAGGGTGCATAGAAACATGCATAGGACTGCACTATAAGCGTAGTGCAAAGTGAGCCCTAGACAAGCTGTCACTGTTTCTCAGCTTCACCCATGGCCCAACTGCATATTTTCCTTTCCTTTAACTAATTTGATAGAAACATTGAACTGGCTGCAAGAAATCACTGATTTCTAGGCATTTGTGATTTAACAACAAAGTTTCTTAACAACAATATTGCATGGTTCGATTAATTGCTTGGGATGATAAAAACCAAGCCCAGCTGATGACCCGCTGCTATTTTTCTTCTAGGAGAGACATGCAACATTTTGGAGTAAAGGTGAGCATTATCGAGCCAGGCTTCTTTAAGACTGGAGTGACAAATTTAGAGTTCATTGAGAGAGACCTTCTAAGACTCTGGAACCATCTGTCTCCTGAAGTCAGAGAGTCCTATGGGGATAAATACTTTGTTGAATGTGAGTGCAAGCAGAGAGCATCACATTTTCGGATGTTTTTTTTTTATCACACATACATGGACACCCATGTGCATGCATGTACACTTTCCCTCTTTCCTTGCAAGCTCTGAGATTTTTGCAGGAATTCTCAGCTGATGAAACTGGATGTTTTTCTAATAAACTTTGTCACAAATGCAACCTCTCCCTCTTGACCCCCATTTCTTGAACTACACTTGAACCAGACCTTGGGAATGCTACTTCCAGGAACATTTCAGGCTGAGTCAGATTAGAGTTTTTTTCCCCAAGGCCCTGGACTGGACTATTTGTATGTCTGGCAGCTCTGCAGTGCCCCAGGGGAACACACTGGTTTGCTGGAGAAACTCCCCAAGTCTTTGCACAAGGCAAGTGGGACCAGCCTAAGCGATGGCAAAGAGGCTCAGAAGCAAGGCTTGTCCTTCTCTCCGCCTGAAGGTCGCTTTGGGGTGTCAGTCTTAGGATCTTAGTAAGCCCAAGTTAACTCAATGATATGTTCTTTTCAGACATCTGTTTCTGCATTCTAGTCTGCTTGGTACTGTAATAAACACCCTAAATTGGGACTTCAGAATTTGAAACTAGAAACTGGAGTCGATTTAGGTCTCTGCACATAGCCTGGAAGCTGCCCATTTCCATTTGCTGGGCTTCTTGGGTAGGTGCACACACTTCATCTGACTTTTAAGCAGTTCAAAAACAGACAGTGTTGTACAGAGGTTTGAACTGGACTCAAGATTACCGAGAGCCAGGTCCTGGTCTTCCCTGCAACCTCCAGGTTCCAGAGATCTGCTGTGATCTTCTTGTGATCACTCTGTAGAAACTGATGGTGCTTATGAAGCCCCAGAATGTGTTTTCATACCTCCTTGGCCAAGGAGGTCTCAAGAACTCAATTGCATCGGCCGCAGGTGGTTGTGCACGTGGAGAGGACAAAGAGGATTCGGCCGTTTCAGGTTTCTAGAGACCTGACTGCTGTCGGATCATTTATGGGGCCGTTGGGTTTTTACAGAATCACAGAACAAAGGAGTTGGAAGGGGCCTATAAGGCCGTCGAGTCCAAGTCAATGTAGGGAGTTCACCACCTCCCGAGGTAAGTGGTCCCATGGCCGTACTGCTCTAACAGTTAAGCATTTCCCCCTAATATTCAGCCAAAATTTGGCTTCCTGTAACTTGAGCCCATCATTATGTGCCCTGCACTCTGGGATGATTGAAAACAGATCCAGCCCCTCTTCTGTATGAATATATTTCAAGTATTTGAAATGTGTTATCCTATCTCTCCTCAGTCGTCTTTTCTCAAGGCTAAACAAGCCCAGTTCTTTCAGTCTTTCCTCACAGGACTTGATTCCCAGTCCCTTGATCATCCTTGTTACCCTCCTTTGAACTTGTTCCAATTGGTCAGCATCCTTGGTAAAGTGCAGTGTCCAAAACTAGACACAGTACTCTAGGTGAGGCCTAACTAGTAAAAAATAGAGGGGACTAGTACCTCATGGGATTTGGAGACTGTACTTCTGTTAATACAGCCTAAAATAGCATTGGCCTGTTTTGCTACCACAACACACCACTGGCTCATATTCAGTTTGTGATCTCCAACAATTCCAAAACCCTTCTCACTCACATTATTACCGAGCCAAGTATCCCCCCATCTTGTAGCTGTGCCTTTGGGTTTTTTTCCTCCTAGGTGCAGAACTTTGCACTTATCCCTGTTCAATTTCATGCTGTTGGTTTCAGCCCAGTGCTCCAGCCTATCAAGATCTCTGTGTTTAAAAGATCTTCCAGGCTGTTAACTATTCCACCCAATTTTGTGTCATCTGCAAATTTGATAAGTATAAATATATAAAAATATAAATATTTTATAAATAGTAAATATAAAACAGCACTGACTAGTGGGTAGTGTGAGGGAGAAGTGGTCTTCAGGACTACAGTTAATTGGGTGCGGTGTTGATAGCTTCTCCTTTGGCTTCCTTTCCCCCTACATTTGATGGTTTCTTTGTTTTTCTTGCAGATTTAAGGACGCAAAGATTATTCATGAACAGACTGTGCAGTTCTGACATCTCTAAAGTCACAGAATGCATGGAGCATGCCTTGACTGCAAAGTATCCAAGGATGCGCTATGGAGTGGGGTGGGATGCCAAGCTCTTGTGGCTGCCACTCTCCTATGCCCCAACATTTCTATCTGACTGGGTGCTGAAAATGTGTTTTCCACTTCCCAGAGGCAGGAGTTTTCCAGGAGCTAGGTTTCTGATGGAGGTTTGATGCTAGATGTGCCAAGGTTTTGCACTGGATAACAATCCCCATTGTCTTCTTTGCTCAGTGATCATGGTTTTGCTGAGAAACCTCTTAACGGCAACATAGCCTCCTTAGCTTTCTGTGAGATGCTTACCTTTTAAACCAGTACTGGGGAACCTTTGGCCTTTATGGAATTATTCTTCTTTCTTTTCCCATGCATGGGCTGAACTGGACTAGCAAAGATCTCTCCTGAAGCTTTGGTTGATCTCTAGAATAGGGAAAAGGCCCAGGCAGTGGCTGTGTTTGCTCCTTCCCAGAGACTGGAGCCATACCAGCCCCTGATTTTCTAGGCTGCTGTTGGCAGTGATATAGCTAGAGACGGCAACTAGAATGCATGCTAGTAGCAGAACTTGGAAATGAAAGACCTGGAAATGAGACCCAAAAGACACAGGCTAGAGTCTGCTCAAAAGCCTACCCAGTGGCAGTAATGGTGGCAAAGTGACTGTTCTTCTGTGTCACCGTGGTATGAGCACAACATTGTCCAGGGGACTTATTTGATTTGTTAAAAACCTATTATGCTATTAATGACAAATTAACATGCAATATTAAAGTAAAGAAAAGACTTCTTAAAAGGCATATTTTTGCAGAAATCTTGGGGAGACTTTATTAATTATGTATGAATAAAGGGGAAGGGAAGAGCACCATCGCAAGAAAGGTTACAATTTTGGAAGGGGAAAGGGAATACTTGAAATAAAGGAAAAGGTCTAGTTATCCATTGGTCCTGGTGCACTTTGTTTCAATTTTGTTCATGTATAATGGTGTTTTATGTGTTTGTTTGTTGTTCTTTTGTTTCTTTACCACTTTGTTTCAGTTTTGTTCATGTATAATTGTGTATTATGTGTTTGTTTGTTTGTTGTTCTGTTGGTTGTTCTTTTGTTTCTTTACAATTTTTTTTCATTTAATAAAATATTCCAACCACCCCAAAAACCTTATTATGCTATGGTCCAGGAGAGGAGACTTTGCAATTTGTTTTCATTTAATAAAATATTCCAACGACCCCAAAACCCTTATTATGCTATGGTCCAGGAGAGGAGAATACAGGTCATGCAAGAATAACAGGCCTGCCCCCTCCCCCACTTTGTAGATAACATTGTTCTGTCATGTTCTGACTTGGATGCTATCAGTAATACAGGGTCAGTGGGGGTAACTTTCTCTCCTACTCATTGTTGTTTTCATTTAATAAAATATTCCAACGACCCCAAAACCCTTATTATGCTATGGTCCAGGAGAGGAGAATACAGGTCATGCAAGAATAACAGGCCTGCCCCCTCCCCCACTTTGTAGATAACATTGTTCTGTCATGTTCTGACTTGGATGCTATCAGTAATACAGGGTCAGTGGGGGTAACTTTCTCTCCTACTCATTGAGTGATAAAGGATAATTTCCAGTTTGTGCTGCCCAAAGATTTGGTAAGAACCACCACACCTGTGCTGGACACTTGGCTTATAAAAGCAACTAGAGAAGTGGGCTGGCTAAATGGGCAAAGAGAGTTGTGTACCTTGATTAAGAATTGGTGATGAGACACTTGCTGAAAAAGCTCTCCCTGAACTCAACCACAGGGGATAATTACCAACTGGTGTCTAGTGTTCAGCTCTTCGGCAAGACACTAGAGAACATAGTGAGGATGCTCAGCTCCAGGGATTCTTGGATGAAACAAATTATTGCAACACCTTTCAACCTGGTGTCAGATCTCACTATGGGACAGAGCTTTAGTCATGGTAGAGCTGTGGTTCCCTAGAGCAGTGGTTCTCGACCTTTGGTCCCCAGATGTTCTTGGACTGAAATGCTCAGAAGCCTTCACCACTAGCTATGCTGGCCAGGATTTCTGGGAGTTGTAGTCTAAGGACATTTTGGGACCCGAAGTTAGGAAGCATTGCTTTAGAGAATTATCTATGCCAGGAACTGGGAAAAGGAATATGTTGAGGTTAATTGTTCTGGACTTCTCAGTAGCTTTTAATTCCATTGACCATGCTGTCCTCCTTGGTCACCTCTCTATGATAGGACTGATGCCCTGAGAACTGGCTACCCTTGGGCTTGATGGCAGAAAGTCCTCAATGCACTTTACAAAAGCTTCACTGGTTATTGAACTGTTTCCAGCTACAATTCAAAATTCTGATGATGGTTTTTTAGAACATCCAATATGAGTTGGTTCCAGACGATCTGAAAGATCAGATTAGCCCATACAACCTTGCCTAGCCTTTGAGACCTGCAGCTGAACCCCTTCTTTCTGCCCAACTACCCCACAAAGGGAAGCTTGCCAAAGATTTGAGGAAGACCTTCTTAGTGGCTGCTCCCAGGCTGTAGAATTCTTACTCAGGAGAGATTGATTGCCTTAGTCTTTTTTTCTGTTGTCTTCTGCTGACAGACAAAGACATCTGTATTTAGCTGGGGTCTCTATATTGTTGTTGTTGTTGTTGTTAGGCTTAAATGTTGCTAATACAATTGTGTTTTAATATAGCCGTACCTCAGTTTATGAAATTAATGTGGTCTCTGGGATGTTTTGTAATGCGGAAATTTTGCAAGCTGAAACGTGGTTTCCCACAGGAATGCATCCACGGGAGCAGTGCTATAAACCTCCCAGGTGCAATGCAAACTTGCTTCGTATTGCGTAAAGAATTTGTAAACCGAGGCATTATTTTCAATGGATTTCCGTTCGTAAACCAAAAATTATGTTAACCAAGGCATTCCTAAACCAAGGTACCACTGTATTATAATTTTCACATCTTTTCCTGTAACTTTAAAAAATCACGTTGTGACCTGCTTTGAATCCCAATTCTGGATGGAAGACCATAAGTCAAATGAATCAATAAGGCTCCACTTATCTGACACAGTGGATGCCCATCTTTTGAAGTTAATGCCATGATAACTCCACTAATCCAAAATATTTCAGAACTCCTAGAATACAGACATATTTCTGGCTGTCTTATGATATTGTATATATTGTTTGTATAATCTGCATTGAGGACCATATGGAGAAAAGGGAAGCTCAAACATATTTTTTTTATGAGTTAGTGAAGGAAGTTACTCTGCATCTGCTCAAAGCCACTTTCATCCATTCCTATTTCACATATACTGTGGTGAAGCTGTGAAATTAAAAGTGGCACTGGAAGACACGGAACAACTGTCCTATTGCCTAAATACAGAGTAGAAGGGCAGTTGTGTAAAGAACTGTGTAAGAATAGGTGTGTGACAGGGAGCCTGCTGGAGTTGGAAGTGAAATGTTTACATGATTGCTGTTCCACTCCGTGTTTTCAGCAGTAAGCTACTGGCCACAGTATTTTGAACCTGGCAAACCCCAAGTTAAACCCCAGGAGGTTATACAGCTGTTCTTTAAAGTAGGTGTTTTTCTGCTGGGAAACCCTTGGTCAACCCACGACTTGATGTGCCTTGAAAAGAGAGAGGATAAAGGTTTTGTTTGCTTAATGTTTGATGATTAATCATTAATAACTGGTTCAACTGAGTTTAATTCATCAATCCCTAGAGTACAAAACCATTGCCGGCGAAGAATCTGGTAGTTACCCAGAACAGAGAGTTTTTTTCTTTACAGAATGTTTGTGGAAATGCCAAGTAGGACCTTGTGACGTGCTGAAATCAAGACTTCTGCAAAACACCTAGGCAGATAAGATGCTCAAATGGAATTGCCTATCCAGAAATGATTTCTAATCACAACAGGCTGATGTTCTTGTGCCAGATCAAGGTCATCCTCATGAGAGGAATTAAGTTATTAAAGGAAATGCAAGAGGATTGTGGCAAAAAGAGATGGACTACCTCCTGTTCAGACCCTGTCAGAAACTTCATTAAATCAGCTAAATGAGAAGCAGCCACTGGAGTCTCGCAGTCAAATTTAATGCTTAAAAAGTTCATGAGAGGGATGGCCAGCAACACATCCAAACAAGACGTTTGTTCTCAAATGTTGCCAATCTTCACTTCTGTCTGCCACAGGAGGAGTGGGCAAATGAGTAAAACGTGATTCTGAACTTCTGGTTTCACGTGACAAGGGAACATGTGCACGTCATTCCACCCTCCACCAAAGTCTGAAACCTGGCTAGTGCACAAGGAACAGTAAATTGCATCAAACTCTTACTCTTCATGTGATATAGTTCAGCAACTGATCTGCAGACTAAAAATGTTCTGTGCAGTTGGTTGGTGGCAATGGCTGTTGGGAGTCCTATATATGGGTCAGAATGGGAATACAAAGCAGCAGCCAGCAGTCCTGATGGGCCTTGCGGCAAATCCCTATCCCCTGCTGAGTCTCATGGTGAAGCACAGTCATACCTGAGAGAAATGAAGTAAAGTAGGATCCCCTTATTCATGAGATCAGTATCAACTGATTCACTTACCTATCATCTGAAAATATTAAAAATATTAAAAGAAAAATCCAGAAAAAAACAGTTGTTGCATGTATTACCAGAATGAACCACTAGAAGGAGCCAGAGACTTGCTATGAATACTCTGTCTCTGTGTGTTTGTGTGCGTGCATGCGTGTGTGTGTGTATAAGAGAGAGAGAGATGAGTTCATGCTTTTCAGTATCCGGGGGGGGGGTTGGAACCAATCCCCAGTGGACATGGGGGGTCCTAAAAACTAACATCATGGCCACTGGTCCCATCACCTCCTGGCAAATTGAAGGGGAAAATATGGAGGCAGTGACAGATTTTACTTTCTTGGGCTTCATGATCACTGCAGATGGAGAAAGCAGCCCCAAAATTAAAAGACGCCTGCTTCTTGGGAGGAAAGCGATGGCAAACCTCGACAGCATCTTAAAAAGCACATACATCACCTTGCTGACAAAAGTCCGAATAGTCAAAGCTATGGTTTTTCCTGTAGTGATGTATGGAAGTGAGAGCTGGACCATAAAGAAAGCTGACCGCCGAAGAATTGATGCCTTTGAATTGTGGTGCTGGAGGAGGATCTTGAGTCCCCTGGACTGCAAGGGAGAACAAACCTATCCATTCTGAAGGAAATCAACCCTGAGTGCTCACTGGAAGGACAGATCCTGAAGCTGAGGCTCTAATACTTTGGCCATCTCATGAGAAGACTCCTTGGAAAAGAACTTGATGTTAGGAAAGTGTGAGGACAAGAGGAGAAGGGGACGACAGAGGACGAGATGGTTGGACAGTGTCATCGAAACAACCAACATGAATTTGACCCAACTTCGGGAGACAGTGGAAGACAGGAGGGCCTGGCGTGCTCTGGTCCATGGGGTCACCAAGAGTCGGACACGACCTAACGACTAAACAACAACAATTGTACCTTGACTCATTTCTGACCACCCACTTAACGAGGGGTGTGCATGGAGCATCCAGTATGTTTTTGTGTCCTCCATTGAAACCTTCAGGCAGCATTATTTGCATTCTAATCACATTATGCAACCCCAAATCTTTCTGACGTTCAAAAAGGGATTTAAAATTTGCACCCTCCAAAATACGTTCTTGAAAATTGGGGAAATTCTTGAGAGCTGCCACAACTGTGGACAACCACAGGAGAAGAGAGGAGGAGAAACTCCCATTGCACAATGAACGGCTATCCACCTGATGTCGGTTTTAGCCCAGAGGGTCCTCTCATTACATGCTTCTAAACTGACCTTTAAGGCAATGACTTCAGAGACATTGCATATTCAGTTTAAAAAGTAAATAGATCTTGCCGCCAGGTGAGAAACTGCTGTAATTTTTTCAGTGCTCTGTTTGTCCGCATAAGTGAAACACATAAAGACGTAGCAATACAAATACTTGGAAAGTCCTTTCAGTGACAAACAAGGCTGCTGTCCTAAGTATGCCTTCTTGCAAGTAAGTACTGCTGAAACACATCAGAGGTGACTTCAGAGGAAGGACTTGTAAGTTTACACTGCAAGTCCCTTTTCTGTGCATTTGTGTCTAATCACAGCCTGGGCTGATGTATACACCCAGAAACTATGGGAAAAATGATCTCCCAGACTGAGAAAATCCATTTCAAATGGGTAGCTTGGGAGATGGCCAGTTCACATCTGAAAGTCTTGTATCTTTGAGATTAGCATGTATGAGAAGGATTTTTTTTCAGTGTCTTCTTTTAGTTTCAGATCTACTACCATGAAGCTAGACGTACCTGCTCTACTCACACTGCCTTAGATCTGGGTCACTTATCAAGGCTCGTGGGCCAGCTCACTTTATGCAAACAATTATAACACACAGCCGGTGATAAAACACACATTAAATTTATTCAGCAGCATCTCGTTCCAGTTTTTTTTCCTAATTAAAGTACATATTAAGGTAATAAATCCATATTAAAAGAAGGATAGCACTTTGAGAAATCAAGTACATATATATATCTATATATATAAAAATTTATCCCAAACAGCAGAGGTCTCCTTCATTATAAGTTCAGAAGCCTGGAGTTACATACGTAGCTAGGCCAGGAACCTTAACAGCAGCTTAAGACTAAACATTCCTGGAAGTGGCACAGAGAGTTGTCTTGGAGAGCTCAAATTTATACTAAACCAGCTATTCAATAGCAAAATGTAAAAGATGCATAGTACAAGGCTGTATCAATAAAAATGGTTTCCCTTTCTACCAGTGCCCACCTCAGGAAATAAATAGTTAACAATAAAAATGTTCACATGAAAAAAAAAAAACATACACTAACAAACCAGAGATGAATGGCTCGTTTTAAAATGTACCAGCATCATTCCTATGCTATGACCCAGAAATCAAGCACGTGGAGAATCTGAGCGCTGTCAATTGAGCAGAACACAAATGACATGTAGAGGTTTCGGCCAGGAATAGAAATGTTCCAATGATGGTTAGAAAAAAGAAAGAGAGAGAAGCTGTTTGGTTGAAGGTGAAAGAATCCTAGCTTCCCACAGACAACCATGATTTCACATTCAGACCTTTAGGATAAAGAAGATGATCGAGGGCCAGAGGGTTCTATTTCACCAGGGAAAATAGGAGTACAAGCAAAACATGTCCTGCCATTTGTTTTGTTTAGTTCCCCAAGAGAGTTATGTAAGTTGTTTACGTTCTACTTAGTATCGCACAAAGAGGCACCTATTTTTCACATACTCTGGTACATTAACAGAGAGCAGAGTTGCAGGGAAGCACCAGTAACCACTTAGCAGGGTGCCACCTATAAATATACGCTCCGAAAAATAAATTCTGTAACTCAGCAAGTTGGCCACTATGTTCTCCTCTATATTATTCCATATAATCATTTATATAGAGGGTATATATCCCTCTCGATGCAGTTGGAGAGCAGATTCATACTAAAACATCCGACAACCAGATAATTTTCCAGAGATTTACAAATGTACAGAATATTTATAACATTACTTTCAGAGAGTGTCAGTGCAAAGATATACATATAGTACACCGTGATCATTGCTCATAAAAATAGGCAGAGGCGTGCATAAAAACAACAACATCAACAAGGCATGGTTTCTTTCCACAGATGTCGCCAGCTAAAGGCTAAATATATTTCTTTATAAAGAGATGTGAACCATTTTTTTCCTTCTGTTTACAAAAATAAATGTGCAAATGGGTGTGCCTAACAATTCCCAATATGAACTAGTTATACAACAGAGTCCTCTTTGACTAGATTGGCGGTGTCTTTGAATGAATCCTCGGTTGCTGTATAGGCTAAGGGTTGGTCTCGCTTGAGAATAACCTTCTGGGGCAATGACGGGGATGAGGGAGGGGCACTCTCAGCTTCTCCTCGGTGCTCCTTTTCCATCTGGGAACAATGAAGACAGGATACAATTGGGCTCCAGTCTGAATCTTACGTGGCATGGAAAGCAGGGAAGAGGGCCGAAAGCCACATGATCTCCCGCTTAGCACGTTATTCCCGAAACACTCGCCATGCAAGCAGGGGAAGCCCTCCAAACCCCTCCCCTCGCCTCCCTTCCTCTGTGAGTGGAAGGCAACAGTCTGAACGGGAGAACGTTCGGTCTCCTTTTAAGGTGCCTCCCTTCCTCTGTGAGTGGCAGGTGACAGTCTGAACGGGAGAACGTTCGGTGGGGGCTCCATTCGAAGGAGAACCCTGAAAAATTAGGATTGTAATTCATATAGAGAACCTCTGTGGAGAGCAATAACGCTTCCACTGGGACACACTGCTCTTCCTGTGTGCAGATGATGGGAAAGCTCACAGAGCAGGGTGAAGTGCTCCCCTTCCTCAAAGAGTTAGCAGACATGAATGTTGCAACCCTGGAACTGCTACCCTGAATCCACCTCCCACTAGAGGCAAAGAGAGGGCATTTTTCAAGGTACCAAAAGCAGAGACAAAGTGGAGGAGAAACACTGTTTCTTTCCCTTCACCCCCTGTCCCCCCCCCAGGTGATGGCACCAAAACATTAGTGGGTGGCAGTTCTTCTGCCTTGGACTTTCATTCCCCTCTTTACACAGAATTGTTCCGTGTTTCACAATTGTGACCATAACCATGGATAAACAGGCGTCGCCAATATTCAGTGATCTTTTGGGAAAAATTAACTTAATACAACATTACCTCTGAATAGATGGGATTTTCAAAGTTAGTACTCTGTTTTAGTTTTCTTTTAAAGATGCTCCACTTTGACTCCTGAAAGTTTAAAGCGAAAGTACATGTTTCTAATTAGTATTTTTGATTCATCGGTGATGACTCAGTGACAAGTAATCTATTAAAGCGGAAAACAACAAAGACAGAAGAACTGTCAGAGGGACAGCTCCATACTTGACTTTAAGCAAATGCCAAGAACGATAACCGGGCTTGCCACCCCGGAGGTCAAGGCAGAAGAACCAAGGCGGAAGGGCACTGGGTGGATGACTCTGACTCCCAACTTTCCTACTCGGTGCTTTCCAGGTATCTGGCACAGAAAGGGCAAGAACCCCCCAAGTCTCTGGCAAAGAGCCTCAAGAAAATTACTTTTCTGAACTACGCTGGATAGGGAGTTTGTCCAAAAAACGTTAACTTTGGGGCAGCCTGTTCTGCTATGGAAAGGAGTTGGGAGGGAGGACGATCTTAACGGAGCGCTAGCTCTGTCCCCAAGGCCAGTCCCTTTACACTCCCTGCTGGGAGCTGGTGGGGAACGGAAGCAGTGCAAGCTCACTCCTCTCCCCTCCACGCCAGTCTCTCTCTGTCCAGTGCCATCGACAGCTTGCTGTGACACACAGATCAAGTGAACAAACAATAAACAAAAGTAGAAGAGAAACTTGGGTGTTGCTTACTATCAGACCCTGACAACCGTCCCAGGAACACCCAAGAGGGAAGACCTCTGTTTTGTATTCATCATCCCCAGGCACCCCTTGGTGAAGATTTATGAGCTTGGGGTAAGAGCATCACACAGAAAGAGCACAGCCAAGTACTAGCCGCGCCTCAGCTAGTAAGCAGAGCTGAAGCAACCGTTTCCCACTTCAGATATCTAAACCTGGTTACCTTTGGTTGATCAATCAGCTGTCTGTTCTGTTCAACAAACTGGTCAGAATCCTATTGGTTAATTACGGTGCCCTAACCGCATTAGCATAAACTGCAGTGGCAAATTGTCACTTGCTAGCAAATCGTTTGCATCCATGGTTCCAGTCCAATCCATCTAACCGGCATATGATGCGGGATGTAAACGCTGACTTGTTAAGTTGTGGCATTTCGCTCCTGCATTCTGTGCCATTTCACTTATGCCAGATTCTGGCCATTCAGCCCACTGCACTATGCAAACAATTTCCAGTGCTAGAGAAGATAAGCGTATACATGGAACCAAATGCATTATGGAGAATGACACGCCCTCCCTCACCCCCCAACACATCTAACAAAACAACGTTCTATGTTACCTGCGCTATTTCTGTGCTTGCCGGAGGCTGGGGAGTACTGGCAGATAACGGTGTAGCATAGACTGGATTCTCAAAGCTTTCATTTCCTTCACTGCTAGAAGCAGCTACCTGTTGTCAGAGAGGGTTTGAAAGGACTGAACAACAAAGACATTCAGACCAACAGATGCTTGACAGAAAATGTACTAAGGCAAGGAGAAGCCACAAAAAAAAGTCTTGGAGTCCCTTAAAGACTCACAGATTTTATCTGGTGTAAGCATTCATGGAGTGGATCAGGCTACACTTCATGAAAGCTTATGCCACGTAAAACCGGTGAACCACTTAAAGTGCCCCAAGACTCTTACCTGGTTTTGCTGTAAGAGGCTAACATGGCAAACCCCACTCCCACCCACCTCCCCACCAGGAGGAAATTAAGGCATGGGGATTGGTGGAAGCAAGATCCAATGGACGAGTGGGTAAGAGAAAGGAGTTCTGCCTTACTTGTGTGGGAGGACCTGCATTCACGTCCCCAGCGCCACTGTCTTTCATGGTATACATGGGGTTCTCAAATGTGATTGGCTGCTTCCCAGATTCTACCGCAAAGTTTTCATTCTGAGGACAACAATGATAGATGATTTTGAACTTTGGATCACATCAAAACAAAACATAATGTACAAATAGCATTAGAACAGTTAAGGGCCAAAAGGCAAAGTATAAGTTATGCTAATCTTTGCTGGAGCTGAATACATCCTGCCCTTTTCTGTACACATTCTCAGCATATCTTCAACCAAATGGGGTTTTGTTATTCATTACTGTCTGGCATCATATATTAAGGAATCATGTAAGAGATCAGCAAACAGAGCTGACGCTCCCAAGAGTGGTTGCGTAATGACACTTCATGAATTATTTTAGAGCAGGGAAAAAATCAATGTCTTTCTTTCTCTCTCTCTACCAGCCAATCAAAAATACCCCGAAATAGAAGGCATGCTCATATAAAAACCAACAAATATTTGGCAAGAAAACTTCAGAAGAATCTGCTAATTCCCTACATGATCATGATCTGTTTATTTTTCAAGGTGGGAAAATAGCTGCAACTGGAGCAGTGAATTGGATTAATTCTTGGTAAACACTGTGATTTCTCTTCTCAAGGACAGTGCGGAAAGTTGGCCGGCCCCAAATGGAAGAGGTAGAGTCTCTCTTATCTCCCAAATCAATACTACAAGAACTGTGTCTCAGGCAACAAAGAAGAGAATTGGTAAATGTGCTGTCGGCAAGAACAGTATGGGAAAAAAGGGGAAAAAAGATGAACTTCTTCTGAACAAGATGACTTCCTCCTGAATTGAAAGCCTTCTTCCTCAACCCCAATGAGGCAAAAAAAGAGCACTGGAATTGGTTGTTGTGAAGTGTGAACTCAGCCGCCTTCCTGTTTTGAAGAATGACTGAATTTGATAGAGGAAGACCAGGACACATTTTTCCTTTTAATGGCAAAAGAGAAGTGTCCAGAGGGCTTATGAAAAGCCATAGACTTGAGGGTATTAAAACAGAATAGCATCGAAGCATTCATCTGAATTCACTTTTTTCCACAACTGGATCAAGAGCTCTAGAGGCCCTAAGCGCTGAAAAGATAACGGTTCTCCCTACGAATATAACATGTGGCAGGTCCCACAACTTGAAAAGAAAAACATGTCATGCACACATTATATGCATGAAAATACAGTAATTTAATTGTACAGCATGTTGCTAAAAAAAAGGAAAAAAAAGAACCAAGTATCATATGCAAAATCATACGTACAAATTACTGGCTTTGGGCCAAATCTTGTGCTTTCACACTTCAATTAATGTAACCAGACTTTGTCAGAATCTGTAAATTGAAAAACTCAAACAAGAGCTTAAAACCGCTTTGGAGGCTTTTTAATCAGTGGCTATTATTTCTTTGGCTTGCATATATAGTGCAGAGGCCATGGTCTAAAGCACTGGTTCTTAACCTTGGGTTACTCAGGAGTTTTGGACTGCAACTCCCAGAAGCTTTTCCCACCAGCTGTCCTGACTGGGGTTTCTGGGAGTTGCAGTTCAAAAGCATCCGAGTAACAAAGGTTAAGAACCACTGGTCTAAAGCAATGGTTCTTAATCTTGAATACTCAGGACTTTTTGAACTGCAACTCCCAGAAACCCCAGCCAGCACAGTTGGTGGTGAAGGCTTCTGGGAGTTGCAGTCCAAAAACACCTGAGTAACCCAAGGTTAAGAACCACTGGTCTAAAGGACCAGCAGCTCTTTTTATACTTATCCCCATCCAACATTCCAAAATACAGAAGTAAACATCAAGCAATGATGATGACTGATCATTTCACTCAAAACATGAGTTTTCTTGCTATGTGAGTCTTTATACTTTTTAGGTTTTACTGGTTCATACTCAATTACTTTAGGCAGGGAGGTGATTTTCATGGGGCTCTTGGGGGAGGGATGGAGAGAGAGCTGAGGAAGATGGATGGATGGATGGATGGATGGAATTTGTTAAGGAGGATGCACCATGGTCCATGGTAAATCCAGCACTTAAAAAATAACCTCTGTGGTGCACCCTTCCCTTGTTGATGCCCTAAGCATGTGCTTATTTTACTTAATGGTTAATCTGGGGTTGCTTTTTGCCCAGAGCTACTTGCACTGGGGAAAAAAAGTACTTTATTGTTTATATTTCCTGGAAGTGCACTCCTGGCAAATACATAAATTCTCCGAAGGATTCCAATTCAATCAGTGCTTCTGTGTACATTCTAAACTACTATGCTTAGAGAAACGTTTGATGTAATTTAAATTTGCTTATGGGACGTCTCCAGCGCAGCTTTCATACAGAACATAATACACACATTCACATTTCTTTCTGATATACACAGGAATAAATATTAGTAACAATGACAAGTATTAATACGTAATAATACTATAAATATATGGCTAGATTCTACCTTTTAAATATGTCTGAAGCATAGTTGCACTTATCTGTCAGACAGTTATTAACAGTAGTAATGAAAAAGAATGCAAACAGTAGTTGTTTCCAGAAAACTGCCATGTTCATTAGAAAATTACATTCTTGTTCATAGGCAACATATTTTTCACCAGCATATACCTATGTGAGGGCAAAGAGGGATGGTTTATTTGGGGGCAGGGGGAAGTCTTTACCATTTGCATTGCTCTGTCAATAGGAGATTCCACGCCAAAACCGGACACGTTTATGTCCATGGTCACGTCAGCTCCCGATCGGAATGTCACCCCATTGCCATTTTCTGTAGATTTCACAAGACTGCTTAAACTGTGGAAATGAGAGCATTTGGTTTTCAGGAGAGGGGAAGCTCAATAAAAAGTGATCTTATATCTATTTGTCTTCATTAATCGTTCCCTGGAACTAACACGGTAACACAGAACAGAAAAAGAAAACTTTGAATTGTGCCTATATTAAAACTGAAAAAAGAAGGCAGCCGTTTGGAAGGGGGATTCTAGAAGCTTCCATTCAAAAGGGCACCTTTCCTAAGCTCTGAACTCTGAGGAAGCACCATTGGGGCCTAACATGCCCCTAAGCATATATCTACAGTGTACGTTTACAACCATTTGAAATACTTTAACCACCATAGCTGAATCCTGAGATATGTAGTTTGATAGGGCACTTAGAATTGTCCGCTAGAGTTCAGGGAAGTTCAATTACAGCTGTCCAGCAGAGGAGTCTTAAGTATCTAAGCCTCTTGGTACAGCGGTTAAACTGCAGTACTGTAGTCAAGCCTTCGCACACAACCTGAGTTTGATCCTGACAGGTTCAGGTAGCTCGCTCAGCCTTCCAACCGCCTTCCATCCTTCCAAGTATGGTAAAATGAATACCCAGGTTAAGGAGGGAGGGGAAAAGTGTTATTTGCATAACTATGTTGTAAGCTACCCAGAGAGTGCCCTATATGTCAAAAAATAAAAATAAATAAACCACTGAACTACAAATCCCAGGATCCCACAGGATGGGGCCACTGCAGTCAAACTGCTAGTGTGGATACACTATCTCTGCTGTTTTAGTCAAATATACTTGAGGGAAGGATTGAAACGTCTCAGGTAGCTGATATGATGACATATACTGAGATCAACGGAGATCAGCCCAATTTCATTGTCACGCTTGATCAACTACGCTTTTATTCTATAGTAATTGTCCATGGCAGGGAACGGCACCAGGCACTAGGAAACAGATGTGTGAAGCAGTTACAAATGTGATGGGGGGGAGGTATGCCTTGTGAAAGCATGTGTAATATACAGAGCTAATCAACAGCACAACTTAGAATGCTGTTTCAGAAGCCTTCTCGGGTGCACAACGAGGCCTCTCCAAGAGAGAGAGAGAGAGAGAGAGAGAGAGAGAGAGAGAGAGAGGAAGATGCACCCCCCATCTCCACAATTCCAGGTATAAATACGACTCCACTGACAGTTCAGTCTTACTCCTGCAGAAGAACATCCACTTCCACTCCACCCACAAGCAAGAGATTAACACAGGAGCACCGGGAATGCTAACTGGCACTCAAGTCTCTTATGGAACACTTCAGCAGCTCCTGCAAGTGCCTGCTGCCTCCAGTGACTGCCTTGTGTTTCTGCAGGCTCTGGCATCTGAGTGACACTGGCCACTTACAGTGGAAACCTTTTTAGAGCTCCGTGTCACGGGGCATGGGATTAACAGCTGGCAACAGCAGAGCAAAGGAAAAGGGGCATGGGGGCTCCTGCAATTCAGAAGGGATCAATCCTACTAGCAATACTACTACTACTACTACTACTACTACTACTACTACTACTAGTAGTAGTAGTAGTAGTAGTAGATAATAATAATAATAATAATAATCATAATAATAATAATAATAATAATAATATAGTGACGACTCTTCAAGGACATGAACAGTTTGCTTGTAAAAGATCAGTAGAGATGATCACAAACCACATTTAAGCCTGCAAATACCTTTGTGGCTTTAGACACAGGTTGAAAAAGCTACTTCTCTATACTACAGCTCTCAAAATCCCTTGAGTCAGCATGGCTGGGGATCATCGCTTGGCTGGCAGAATTCAGGGAGTTGTATTTCAAGAGAGCAAGCTTTTCCAAATTCTGGTTTTCGACAGGCCACGGCTGTACCTTACAGAGGTTAGTCCCAAGTCAATCACTGCTCTCACGGTCATCCTTACCTTGGAAGTTTGGGAAGCGAAGGTAAAAGGGAGCCTGTCCGTCGGTAATTAAAAAAGGTGCCAACACCCAGTGCCCCAAGGATGATGATCAGAATGACCGTCAGCAACGCAGCCACTGCTGCTACCAGAGAAAAAAGGGGTATGTGAACAATATGGCAGAGACAGTTTGAACGTCAAGACAGCCGCGGCAACGACAACGACGACGATGAGAACAACAACAACAACAACAACAACAAAGCTCTACAGTTTGGCTCCCAGGCAAAAGGCTTCAAGCGTTTGCCTGGCAATGCTGCACAAAAATGTATATTTCAAGGCTTACTTGTCCCGGGAGGCACGCCCCTTGACATTCCCGCTTCACAGTAATTTCCAGCATAGCCATAAGCACACCTGTAAGTGGAAGAGAGGCACCTGGCTGAACTGGCTGAGCAGTATTTATTGCACTCCACAAGGTGGATCTGTAAGGCATGATTTTTTTTTTAAAAAAAAACAAAACAAAACCAAACAACACCAAACTCATGCCATAGTAATTACATGTTTCACTGGTAGGACAAAAAGAGGGGAAAAAGGAAGAAAAAGAAGAATCTGCTTGCTGTTTTCTTAGAAACAAGCAAGAAGGAATGCTGAGTCACAGATTAAAGTGTTCAGGTGAAGGGGTTTGGTTTGGGGTTTTTTTGAATGTTCAAGGAGATCTGTTTTCTGCGGCGCATCAGTGGCCTCTACAGGCTCAGCAGAGTGCTAATTTTTCCTCCTTCTTGGCAAGTTCCTGTATGTTTTCCTAGGGAAGATCTGCAATACAAGCAGTGCAGTAACTCCTGCTCTCTTAGCACACGCCTTCCCCCCCCTTGCCACCCCCACCCAAGACACACTGGTAAAGATTCCATTTCAAATCTTCTACCACGTTGCTTGATTCTTCTAGCTTGCCTTCCACACCATCACTTCAGGCACAGCAGGGATTTGGAATGGAGTCTTAAGAATGACAACAGATGAATAGAAGCCCCCCGCCACCAATGTGATAGATGTGTGGCTGCTCGTTGCCATTTCTTATCGCAGGTTCGGGAGTGATATGTTCAAATGCTTCTCCTCAGATTATGTACTTCATTTCTTGGACAAGTATTACCTGCCAAGCGCCCATGGTCCAAGGAGAGGAAGTGCCTCATCTTTTTCTGGCGGTGGGGCAAAGCTTCCTCCATCTACCCCCATTTGGTCCACAGGTGGCCTATGCTGGTAAATCCAGGGACAGGATGCTGTACATCTTTCTCCCTGAAATTCTATGTGAGGGGAAGATTTCATGTGGCAAAGCCTATACGCTTTACTGAGTAGGCTGGTTCACTCCCCTTTTGGGCCTGAGTGCCCAAACTGGGGGGGGGGGGAGGAAAAAAACAACAGTGGGCAGTGGGCGGCAGAAGTGGTGGCAACAGAAGGGGGAATCCCAGACACGGAGGTGCCTCGAGCCCCCACTCCAGATCTGTTGCCAGCGCCAGCTGCTCCGGATTCTGGCCCTCCGCCTGTCGGGGTGTCAGCACCGCGGCTGCAGCCACCTCCTCAGGTTTGGCTGCGTGGGAAGGGAGTAGCGATCCGGTGACTTATGGCTCGTGTGCCTGCAGAGAGGGCTCAGCTGTGGCATGTGTGCCATAGGTTCGCCATTGCGGCTCTAGACTCACTTGCACTTAGGAAATCCAGCTTCATCAATATAGCATGTTCCTCCATACATACATCTGCAGGCTGGAGGCATCGTTGGAGGAGGGTCAATGGCTACAAAAGAGAAAAGACACGCATGTGCCAGCGATGTTGCAAAGTCAGAGTTCAATTACTGATCTCCAATTATTTTCACTACTGAAATTAAGCCAGGACTGGTCCAAAGGCTTTTTCTTCCTTTGTTACTGCTATAATTTATACCCTCCCTCACATGTGCAGCCGTTTTTCCAAGTTCTGTTTAAAATATATTAAGTAATACAGTAAAATGGGAACACACATAAACAAAGGAACCACACAGGAGATCTGTATTTACAGAGCATTGCTGTAATACACACTGAACCTGGTGGACAAATATGACACCCATAAGAAAGCCCATCAGTTGAGATCACTGCTAAAACCATGTACTGTATATGGAAAACCTCAAATACTCTGAATTAATTACTGATCAAGGGGGCTGAACCAGGAAATGCTGTATATGCCACCATGTTGCATCTGACTATGGCAACCCTGCGAATTAGTGACTTTCAAAAGGCGCTATCATTAACAATAATGCTCAGGACTTGCCAATTAAACATTATAGCTCTTTTTATTTAGTCAATCCATCACATGTTATGCCTTCCTCTGTTCTTACTGCCTTCCATTTTTCCTAGCATTATTGTCTTTTCCAGTGAGTCTTGTATTTTCTTAGCATGTCCAAAATAGGACAGTCTCACTTCAGTCCTTTTAGCTTCTAGTGAGACTTCAGGTTTGATTTAAACTATAACCCACTTGTCTTTCCAATGGCAAGTTGAACCAGGAAATCTTCTTCCTGAATTTGTTAATTGTTCAGTTCTGTGAGTGTATCAAGAAAAGCAGAAAGATTGCACACCTATCAGTTGCTCCTGGCAAAACCGTACAAATGGTTGTTTAGTTACACCCCTAACACTGAAAAAAAAAAAACTATGGAGTGCAAGAGTCTCTCTACTCAGACTTTAGGAACTCTGGACCCATCAACTTAATCTCATCTTCCAGTAGTAATGTAACAAATACTTGCAAATGTTCTCATCCCCAACAACAACAAAATGACATCTTGACATGTTGACAAATTTAAAAATGGGCAAAAGCAGTCAGTTCTGCTCCTATGAGAGATCAAAAGCACCAGCACTTTTTCATTAGCAACAGTATTTGAAAAAAAAAAAGTCACTTCTGCACAAAACCAGGCATTTTGTTTTTAAAACCTGGTATACTGTGGAAACAATATAGGTTTTGTACAAAAAAACATTTCTACTTATTGTTTCAGTAATGTTCCAAAATGTGGAAAGTGCAAAAACACACAAATAAACCAACCATCAAAAACAAAACAACCCTCCCTAATTTGACACAATGGAGATAACATATTTCACATTGTTCTCTATTGCCTGCAAGAATGAAATAAGCAGAGCTCTGAATCCCTTCCTTTACAATTCACTTTTCTGGTTTATATACAACTTTAATCCAATTACTATAAAAGCCTTTCTGTGTAAACAAGTATCAGTTGTGGTTCTCCTGATGCTGAGTGACAACTACCACCATCCATCTACACTACACCTATGACTAGTCACAGTTAGTGCTGGGAGATGTAGCCCAACTGCTCGGAGGTGTATTCTAACACCACCTGCAGGGCCACCGGTGTAAACCCACCCTGGTTTACAGTAAAAGCACCCAGGAATAACAGAAAGCAAGAAGAACAAGATCAGCATTTCAGAAAAATCCTCTGGATTTGCAGTTATGGCCTGATCATGGAAAACAGAAAAGCAAAAACAAACGTCAGATTACTGTTTAGGCTGCGGAGTCTGCCAACTGAATTACTGATTTAATTTTAAAAAATTAATTCAGATACAGTAACTGATGAGGGGGAAAAATCCTTGTCGTAACAAAATGTTCACTTCATTTTTAAATTAAACAAAACAAAGTTTTGTTTGTGATTTTGACAGATGATATTTCTTAGTCCTTTTTTTTTACTCGTATCTTAAAAATTAACATTTGGCAATATTGTCATTTCAGATTAAATATATCTCATTTTCCTCCTCTGGTAAAGCATTTGCTTGTTCATTTAATCAAACTGTATCTCACTCCTAAGAAAATACTTCCAGGTTTCTTCATACCTGATGCAATAGAGAGTGTGTGTGTGGGGGGTACCACTTCAGAGTAAAGTATAGCATCTCATTTTAAAAATGTTTCTCCATGAAAACAGGAAAGCAGCCCATCAGAAAATAACAGCTTCTCCTTACTATGCTGGATTTGTTCTTGCAGGAAGCTTTTCTTATTTGGGCATTTAAAAACATTTTTTAAAAATAGTGCCATTTACCTGTACGTGATGACTTCTCTTTTACCATTAGGACTGTATTACTCCATGTTGCACCATGTGCACACCAGATGTAATGCATTAAAGGAAAACATTTGCATTGAATATCCTTGGAAGAGTTCTACAAATCCTCGTACCTGCATCACACAATGTGGAGCTTCCTTCCACAAAACGAGTTCCTTGTGGGCACGTGCAGGAGTATCCTCCAGGTCTCAACAAGCAAAGATGACTGCAGACATCTTTGCAGGGATTGGAGACTATAAGTAGAAAAAAAACAACAGAACATTATTTGTGATAACTAATCTCACCTTTCCTATCAGGCTGCGATACAGTATAGAAGGATGGAGGTTCTAACCCATTGGCTCAGAGCGGATGTCCTTACAACTGGATTTAATAACCATAGCTTCAAGAGCCACCTGTGGTTTACTCACTCTTTCACCTCTCTTCTTCACCCCTCATGGAGGAGTGGCATTCCTCTTCTTCTTCTTTTTTTTTTAAGTTCTGGTGGTAGCATTTGTGCTTTCATAATTTACAGCCCCCACCAAACTACAGTTTGCAAGCTTGTTTGGAAATAGGTTATATAGTTAGTAAAATATGTACTTGCTCAAATATAGTGCTAGCCCCAGTTATTTGCACAACAAAGAGCAGTCTGATACCTCTTTAACTGCCATGGCTTCAACCCCTGGAAGCTTGGACTTGATAGTTTGAGGAAGTGTCTAGCATTCAATAAGGGACGTGGTGGCACTGTGGGCTAAACCGCAGAAGCCTGTGCTGCAGGGTCAGAAGACCAAGCAGTCGTAAGATCGAATCCACGTGATGGAGGGAGTGCCCGTCACTTGGCCCAGCTCCCGCCAACCTAGCAGTTCGAAAGCATGCAAATGCAAGTAGATAAATAGGGCCCACCTCGGTGGGAAGGTAACAGCGTTCCGTGTCTAAGTCGCACTGGCCATGTGACCACGAAAGATTGTCTTCGGACAAAACGCTGGCTCTATGGCTTGGAAACGGGGATGAACACCGCCCCCTAGAGTCGAACACGAGTGGACAAAAATTGTCAAGGGGAACCTTTACCTTTACCTAGCATTCAATGTGGGTTGAGAGGAGGCCACTACAGCAGAGAATGCTAAGCAGCTCACCAAACTGCAAGCGGCACCACAGGAGGACACCATGACAGTCAAAGTGCTCCCAGAATGCTCTGTGTAGTGTTGATACCATATCTGACCGCTGACTGAAAGGAAGAGAGAAAGAGGGAGAGCAGAGAGGGGGGTGGTCTTTCTTTCTTAAGACCTTGATGCCACTGAGAAGTAAGGCTATTCTCTTAGCTATGGTCAGGAGGAGATTGGGCAGCATTATTTATGCTTGCAGTAGGCCTGCAGTGGGACAGGAGCATGTGCTGCGAGACAGAGGCCTCTTGGTAACATCATGTCATGATCAGTTCCTGCTGACAACCTAAATCCAAAGCAGCATCTTGGTATTTTAACTACATTTTTAAAATAAATGCATATTCTACTTTTTGTCCCAATCAAAATGGCATTTTCCTATAGGACACCAAAGGACAAGGACATTTCCAGCCTATGACAGGAGAGAATGACGCAGGCAGGAGGTAAATTTAATGACTGTCTCTGCCAGGAGATAAACATAACAGACAAATGACAACAAATAGTAATAAAATGAGTGCAGTATGCTTCCTCTCTAGTTCTTAACAAATCTTACTGCCCACGTTAAAAAAAAAGTGAAGTAATTCCTCATTCTTGTCTCTAATAACGGGAGCCTAAGGAACTCATCCGGATTACAGCAAGAGCCATCCATAGGCCCTTCTGTAATCCGGATGAGTTTTGAGAATCTGTGATTCAGTCTCACAGCCTTGTGAAAAATGGAGCAAGAGGTAGGGGCAAGATGTAAACCAGGGCCCATTATTCTTGACCCTTGCCTCCCTTCAGCTGCTGTAATCCCTCGCCTTCACCTTTTCAGAGTGAAAGAGAACAAATTACATTCTGTGCTAGAAGAAAACAGGGGGGAAACTACATGATTTATAGCTAACTTGACAAAATTAGTGGTGTCTAGGTTGTAGATTGTTTGTAAAGCTTCACTAAATATTTAGGGCCTTCTCAGTGGCTACTCTCAAGCTTTGGAATGCACTACTCTGAGGAGCAGGTTGACTTCCTCCTTCCTGACCTTCTGTTGTCAAGCAAACACCTTCCTCGTCAGTCAGCCTTTTACATGATAAGTGTCTCAGGAATGCTTTGTTTAAGTTATAGTTTTTTAAATGTTTTGTTTAACTGTTTTCTATATGTCAGGCAAAAATAAACCAAAAATAAAAAATAAAGAAGCTCAAAACATCGTGGCACCTTAAAAACTGCTATATTTTAATGTGAGCTTCCATGGACAAATCCACTTCTTCAGACTTGTATAAATACCATAAATATGTTTATATACTATTTATAAAGCTGTTTTTCTGGGTCCCCTATGGGGAGAATGGAATGACTATGGAATGCACTGGCGCCGATGGCTGATGACATTTCGGAGCCATGTCAAAACCTTCCCGTTCCAGAAGGCTTTTAATTGAAATAACATCAACTGTGGGTCCTGATGGCAATTTTTAGATTGCATTTTAAGTGTGTTTTAATGTTTTATCTTTTATTGTATTTTAATTGTTTTTCAATTGTGAGCCACTCAGAGAACTTTGGGTAGAGTGGGCAGCATATAAGCTGAATGAATGAATGAATGAATGAATGAATGAATGAATGAATGAATGAATGAATGAATGAATGAATAGATTGATAGACAGATAGACAGACAGACAGATATAAATTACAGACAGATAGACATATTGGGTAAGGGATCTTGCCAGTCAGTGCTTTCACAAATCCTAATGCCGTACTGTACATAGAAAGATCTACCCATTTGCAACCTATTGCTGATTTCTTTGAAGACACACTTACTTGCTTTTTTTGGATCAATAACAATTCTCAGACAATGTGCCATCGAAATTTGGCCATTACCTGACTGGTTGTATCTGTATTGGTGATAAATGCGGACTTGAGTAAGCCAAGGGTTGACAGTCAGCACTTTGACTTTTTCTCCTTTTCCAAATTTATCTTCTCTCCAGACTTCTCCTCTTTCTTTAGAGATCCAGTACAAGTGACCTTCAAAGACGTCCAGGCTATACGGGCTGTTAACTACTCAGTTAAATAAAAGAACAAACAAATTAACATCCAAAGGACTAACAACTTTTGTCAATCAAATAAGCATTCCAAAACAAAAGTGTTGGTTCCTCATCCTTTCTTCTTGTATTTGTACCAGCGGAAATCAACACCCATGAAGATTTTAAAAGCAAGCCAGTTCTTCCAAAGAAATTTCAGCTTGTCCTCAAACATTAAAAAACCACAGGAGAAAAGCTCTTGGTTCAGATGTAACGTAGATGCTGAGACACTCTGGCCTTTGTTTTTACTGAATGAGAACCCAGTCATGTATTTTTTTAACTCTTTGCATTAGTAACAAAACTCCCTCATCTGCCACCATAAAAGTGTCGGCTAACTACGCCAGGGGTCTTGAGAAATAACACCTTGATTCCACAATCATTTCCATACCTCCTTGCAAAACAATCTTCCTGTCTGTTCCATCAAATTTCATAGACTCAATTAGATTTTCCTTCTCATCACTCCAGTAGATTCTGTCATCATTCAAATAATCAATAGAAAGCCCAGTTGGCCAGCCAAGATCCTCAAAGACCAACGTTTGCCTCTGTTGCCCATCCATCCAGGCACTTTCAATTTTGGGCTGCCTCCCCCAGTCTGTCCAATACATGAGCCTGTGGAAAGCAGAACCAGTATTTATAAAGGGTTAGTTACATAGCACACCAAAACACATACAGCGGGCAGGGAGCAAGAAGAAAAAGAAAGCTATATCAAGAAATCCGGTTGGCAAGAAACTTGGCTGTTCCTGGTTGCAGGATTTCCCACATTTGTAGGGGACTGAAAGGAGGAAAAGAGAAGAGGAAAACCAAACAAAAGATGGATGTACTTAATAAAGGAAGTCACAACACTGCGTTTACAAGACCTGAGGTCGATTAATGAAAGGACCTACTCAAGACCATTAACTCATAAGGTCAGCAAGTCAGTCAGACATAAGTAAGATATGACTTAATGGCACATAACAACACCACCTCCAAGGGTTGGGCTAGATGACCTTTGAGAGGCCTTCAAATTCTATGAGTCGATGATCAGATCTCCTTGAAGGAAAATGTTCATCTAATCCTAGAACCGTTGTCACGGTTCCAATTAAACATTCTTACAAATTGGTATTATTCCCTTGCCATAGTTTACACGTAAGTATGTTATTTATTTACTGTATTTGATTTCTAATTGTCACGGTTCCAATTAAACATTCTTGGTTTTATTCCCTTGCCATAGTTTACACGTAAGCATGTTATTTATTTACTGTATTTGATTTCTACCCTGCCCATCTAGACCAAGAGTCTATTCTGGGCGATTTAATAAATTAAAAACGATAAAACCAAAAACCAAAGAGTCCAAGATGGCGAATCATAGATAATCGAAATATGGCAGTTAAGATATGGCCAGAGGGAAAGCCTGCCCAAATAGCCAGGTTTTAAGTTTGTCCCTGAAAACACCCAGAGATGGAGCCAGGTGGATCTCCATGGGCAAGTTGTTCCAGAGGCGAGGGGCCACTGACGAGAAGGCCCAGTTCCCTCGTTCTTTCCTTCCGGACCTTTTCTTTCTTGCATTTTCTTTCAATTTCTTATGATACCTATCTTTCTTGTAACTTTTTTCATAATCTCATGAAATTATGTTACTTTGGATGGCTATTATGTGCCACAAAAAAAGTCAGTGACCTTTATAGCAAAACAGGTAATTGATATTGTGCCTCTCTAACATCCAAATGAGTGCTCTTCCACCTTCACTCAGAAGTACTATATATTGCATACAATCTTTCTTCTTCTTCTATTTTCTTCTTCGTATTTTCACAAATGAATACTGTCAAGTTCACCACTTCAAGATATAATTCCATACAGAAAGTAGCACACAAAGATGAAATAAAAATTAACAACAACAGCAGCCATAGTTTTATTATGCTGTAATTCAAATATAATACAGATCTGAAGAAACCTTTAAAATGCAAGAACTAAAACCTGATCACAGAACTAAAGAATGCTTTTTTTCAAAAACAAACAACTCAAAGCTAAACCCAATAGAACTGACAAATGTTTTCAAGCTGTGTGGCCTCTGCCCGTGAAGCCCTGCATGCAAGCAATCCACATCAAACCAAGTCTTGGTTATTTGCTGTCGGCTCAGAGGTTTCCCCCTAGTACTGTTAAGTGAGTTGTATCCATTTAGTTTGCCTGCAGGCTGCTTTCTTTTTATGTTTGTCTGCTGACAGAAGCATAGCTTGTTGCTAACAGATGGTCAGCTCTGCTCAAACAATCATGCAACACGGTTAAAGAGCCTCGTGGCACAGTGATTAAACTGCTGGATGGCCAAAACTGAGCCGTACAGCGGTTTTGTGAGCCAAAGTTGTACTCACGAGCCAGGGTATGATCCCAGGTAGCCGGCTCAAGGTTCACTCAGCCTTCTATCTTTCTGAGGTCAGTAAATTGAGTAGCCAGCTTGCTGGGGTGGGGTGGTGGCAATGTGTAGTTTGCATAATTAACTTGGAAACCACCCAGAGAGTGTTTTAAGTGCTATGGGGCACCATGATTTAAATATATACAATGTGCTGTTTGTTGTATTTTCTGATGTTAGACTGGAATATAGTTCCTTTTAAGTGATTGCCAGCTCAATCCTACGAGTGGCTGGGTTGTGGCAGCGGCTCACGTCTGAATCCAACGCTAGTGGCTCCCATTCCCCCACTCCCCCATGTCTCATTGCATTGGTGCCGGTCCCTCTTCCCATCCTAGCGAAAGCAGTAGCCGTCACCACTCTGGTAACAGTGATCTACTGTGACCTCCTTTGTTTTGTTTAAAAAAAGAGATGTCATTCTAGCTATAAACCAACCATTGTCCCAAGAATACGACTTGCAAGAATAACAAAGAGCAAAGTAGACACGAATCAGATGGCTGGAAATGCTTTTGGGGGGAGGGGTACAATCAAACTCCTTCAGCTATCAAAATGCTTACCCAAGTTTGGGATTGACCACAATGGCTGCAGGTTGGTCCAGCAAAGAATAGATGAGCCATTTCCGGTATCTCCCATCAAGCTTTGCCACTTCTATTCGATTTGTCCCAGCATCCGTCCAGTAAAGGTGCCTAGTTTAGATTCAATTAAAAACCTTTTAAAATTCCGTGACTTTGGTCAACATCAACAACTATGTATTCTCGAAGGCTTTCATGGCCGGGATCTGATGGTTGTTGTAGGTTTTTCGGGCTGTTTGGCCGTGTTCTGGATGTTTTTTCTTCCTAAGGTTTTGCGAGTTTCTATGGCCACCATCTTCAGAGGACAGGGGTTAGAACTCTCTCTCTTTTCAGTTCTAACGCCTGTCCTCTGAAAAGGTTTTGCCAGTTTCTATGGCCACCATCTTCAGAAGACAGGGATTAGAACTCTGTCTGTTTTCAGTTCTAACGCCTGTCCTCTGAAAATGGCGGCTACAGAGACTGACGAAACGTTAGGAAGAAAAAAAACTCCAGAACACAGCCAAACAGCCTGAAAAACCTACAACAACCATCAACAACTATGTAGATTTTTTGTTCTTCTTTCATAAGCAAGCAAGCAAGCAAGCAAGCAAGCAAGCAAGCAAGCAAGCAAGCAAGCAAGCAAGCAAGCAAGCAAGCAAGCAAATAGATAGATAGACAAGCAAGCAAGCAAGCAAGCAAGCAAATAGATAGATAGATAGATAGATAGATAGATAAATAAATAAATAATGTAAATCCAGAGGGAATAGCCATCTAATATAGCCAGAACTGCTAAGTTAACAAATCAGAGTTACAAGTCAACATTTGAATGTATTTGCGAAGGCTTTCATGGCTGGGATCTAATGGTTGTTGTGGGTTTTTCTAGCTCTTTTTCAGAACACGGCCAAAGAGCCCGAAAAACCCACATCAACATTCGAAGTCGGCTTCCTACATCTGCTTTGTTCACAGAGTGGCAAGCCAGGGTCTGAATCCATACATTCTGGGAGCCTTTTGCTTTTTTTGTAACTTGTGATTTAATAGTTTTCACCAGCAGGAGGAGCCAAAGAAAGATATTCAAAAGTACACTGCATACCTGTTCCATTGTAACACAACTAATGCAACAGAAACTGCAGGTGATGCAACTCTCAGAACATTTAACATTGCAAAAGAAAAGGATCTGACATAATGTAGGATCTTTCCCCCACAGAATTTAGGCAAATAAACCCATAGCTAGACCTCCAGTTAAATCGTGATTGTGAAACTTCACTGGAATCAGTAATAAAAATGCTGACGGCTGGGATAAACACTCCACCTTACAGGAATACAAGAGATTAATTATAATCAAAAATTCACTTCCAGTGAAACCAAGTCCATGATTCTTTTTCTACTGCCCCCTTTTCACTTGTTACACAGCTTTCCTTTCTGGAAATTGCAATCAGGAAAAAGTTGCCAACCTGAGCTGTTACATAAGAGTTCTGGTCTGCCAGGCAGTAAAAGACCAGCCACTTATCTGAGTGGCCCTGAAATTTATGCAACAAGGGGTGAATCAGGTCCCTCCCCAATTTGTGTCATCGAGAGTACAATATAAAAGGGTCCTTATCGACATGTCATCTTTTTGGCTAAGAGACAACTCAAAAGTCCAGTAGGTTGCTTCTTCTTCCTCCTCAGAGGCATAGATCTTATGGATGAGGAAAGAAACAAGTACATTCCGGGAGACCAGAAGGCCAGGCCTCCCAGCGTATCAGCACCCTGGCATGAGGAAGAAGTGGCCGAATTGCCTCCATGAAGGCTCTCAGTGAAATAAATCTGTAAGTTTTACAGATGCCACATCTCTAATAGGCGTCACAATACTTTTGTCTTCATTTTGTTCTTGTCCTTGCTGAAACAGACAAACAGAGCTACCTCCCTGAAAATTTGTGTGAGGGGGGAAAAGTAGGCTTAAATTCTATATCATATCTGAGGAGCTTTATTTGGAGAGCTGCCCCGAGTAGATAGACATTGTCTGGGGAGGGGGGGGGTAAAAGTATAATAATAAATAAAAATAAAATAAATATATTTCCCTGTGGTTATCTGGGGTGTCTAGAACAGAGAGCTGTATCACTCTGGTCTGGCGTGACAGGTTCTGTCAAGGACAATAGGCTCCAAGGTCCATTCGTTCCTAGTGGCATTTCTCATCAGTGACCCAAGTGGTGGCAACAGCAAAGAGGACAAATCATAACCATAATAATGGATACTTTCACCCCATGGGCAACCAGTATCGGTCTTACAGATGGATTTTGCAGATATCTAGAGCAGATACCAGTAAACGTAGGCCAGTGGTTGGTAAGCACAAAAGACTTCCCATTAGTGTGCATTCACATCATGTGACCATGATGAATAAAGAGTGATACTAACTCCTAGGGACATGGAGCACTGCTTAAATGTTCTATGACATTTGTATATTCCTAAGAAATGAATACAGCAAGGATCAAAGGAGAATTAAAAGTAGCTACAGCACATATGCCAAATCTTTGGGTTTTTTTCAAAATAAATAGCAGGATTGCTGAAAACACAGGCACAAGTTCAGTAAGTAAGGACAAAAAGGGGCGTGTTTTTTTCATAAATTTGTAAGAGGCCTGTGGAAAGTAGTGGACACGAGCACTGGCCACAGCTTGCCTGGAAGCCCCCCAACCCTTATTAAAACATCTCTGGCCTTGCCAAGTTAGAAGGAAATCAAAGCTCAGATGTACATATCAGGCCAGACACATGGCTATGTTTTGAGTGAATGCTAGGACTCTGAACTAAGACGCAGGTCGCTGTACCTTCATAAAACATTTTCTGTATTCAAGGATGAGCAAAGCCTTCTGAAGTGTTTTTATTTATTAACGGATATTTAAATCAGTCCCCTCAGTACTTACAGACATCACAAGGTAGGGAATAAACTGCAAATCAAATGTAGTAAGGCAAAATTGATCCAGCTATCATGCTTACCTCCCAACCCAGTCCACAGCTAAACCAGACGGACTGACCAGGTATCTCAGATTCAAGTCAACGTCCTTCACAGGATTATTTCCGCTGCTTTCAAAGGTGGGGATATAGGCACGTTTGATGGAACCAAACTCTGAACCACGGCCCAGAATGCTGTAGTACACAATACCTAGAAAAAGTTAAGAGATGCCTCTGAATGGGCTGTTGGTAGGAATAATTAGCATCTACCTGAACAATACTATGTCTCTCAGGCCTGAAGCGTCACTTAGCACTTCTTGCTGGAGCCAAATGGTACATGAAAATTTGTCCAGATTCCAGCAATTTGAATCTAAAACAGAACGCAGAGATAGTGTAGAGTAGAGTGGTCGAGTAGACCAAATAGGTGGGGTATAAATCAAATGAATGAATGAATGAATGAATGAATGAATGAATGAATGAATGAATGAATGAATAAGATGGCTTGATGTATCCATAGAAGAAACACATTGCAGGGGAGGTTGCATTCTGGGATGCTGTGGGCAGGTAAGATTAATTCAGGTATTATAACATGGCTAAACCTATGTGGCGTCGACAGGACCACTTGAGCGCCACTGCATGGATCCTCAGGTCCCTTCACCTTGCTCCTACGACACACGGAGGGTGCTGTGTCTGAAGAGGGAAATCTCCACTACCTGTGGACAGCCATGGCCCTGATTCACATGCAATGCGCTCACAACTAGCCGAGTTAGGACCACTTGAGCGCCACTGCATGGAACCTCAGTTCTGATACACATGCAATGCGCTCACAACTAGCCGAGTTCTTCCTCTCCAGACTTCTTGTCATCCGCACGTAGGTTTAGAGAACGAATTAATGGCAGAGAAAAGATCTGGAACAGACACTCCCAGACTGAAGCCTGCCCATCTGGTAACAAGGAGTGGATAGATGGTAATACAGGTGAAGAGCTTATGAATGCTTTCCATTGATTTCTGCAGCCTTATCAAAACATAAATTGCCTCGGTAACAGTTTGTTACAGATTAGCTGGTAAGGTGTCAAATACTTACTGAGGCCAACTCCCTCAGGGTCCCAGTGATAGTCTAAAGCTTGGATGTGCTCTTCATTTTCAATATAGTCAGAATACTGTTCGGATGACATGTTGTACCTTCGAATACGGACATTGTCAGGCAGAAGTAAGATGGGTGGGTTACCTGAAAAGATGGTAATATCATGCTAAGATGTTCTTTCCACCAAAGATGACAGGGAGAAATCATTTATATGTCAAACACAACAGAAAGTTTTTTTAAAAAACTTTTGATCAATTTTGCTTTACAGCTGGTTTGAAGCACATTCGTCTGTAAAACTGAGAAGCATAGGGTTTCAAATGCTTCCCCTCCAATGACTTTGAAATTATTCCTATTCCCAGTTATACCCTGTAGTATGTTTCTGTACACCTTTGGAATAGAGTTGGTTCATGCACCAAGACTGGCCGGGAGGGGGGAGAGACACCTCATTTCTGTCCCATTTAAAAGCCACCCTCACTCTGTAACACTGGAAGAGGATCCAGAGCATTATTTATAGTGAACCCAATAAAGTTTTCAGACTTTCCCCCCTTTGAACATTGGACACTTCTGCTATATTAAAAATTCCTTTGCAATCTTCTCCCTCAGAAAGTTAGGCTGGCCCCCTCCCCTTTATATTTTTGACAACAGATAAAGACCTTTCCCTTTCAGGCAAACTTTTAATAACTAACATTGAGTACTTCCTAGATGCTGGGCACATGTTTTTAAGTGTATTTTTAAACAATTAGATACTCTTTTTAATTATCATTATACATTTAATTGTTTTACAACTTTGTAATTCACTTGTGTTTTTATACTAACATGTTTTAATCATTCTGAATTACTTTGGGTGTCCTCCACATGGGAAAGATGGCGTGGAAATGAAATAAATGAATAAAATTTGCCTCAGATGCCCCATGGGGTTTGTTTGATGGCCAGATGTTCCAGATGCAAGATCCCCAAATCCATTTGGCCACACAGAATAAATTGTAGGGTTCTTCAATCCTGGCCCAAGGTTATAATTTGCAAATATGTTATTTCCTGGATTACCTTGATTATCAGTGATTGATAATACAACCTAACATGAATGTTTCCATTTGTTACCTAAGATGCTGACCTCGCAGCCTTTATCACTACCACAGCCCCAAGACAGCCTTTCTCTCTTCCTTTCCTCATCCACCCCGCAACTCTCTTTTTGTAATAGCCTCCCTGTTGGAGAGCCAGAAAGCTTGTCTTTTTGTGTGTGAGAGACATTGAGTTGGTTTAATAACGTCTTTACCCTTACAAGGATTTGGGAATTCTTCTTTTCAACTACATTTGATTATTAAAATCCAGAGCATGAAAAGTTACTTTCAAAATAAATGAATATTAAGCATCCTTCAGTCTCGAGAGACTATGGTAATGTGGTCTGTATGGATAACTTGGAACAGCATCTAGTGTGGTGAGAAGGCCAATTTGAGAGTGAAAATCCCTTCCACACTCAAGACAAATACAATCTGTCCCCTCTTCGCCTCGGCCTGCTGGACAAGTGTCTCTTCAAAATGGGAGAGGCCATGATGCACTCACTGCCTGCTTCCAGGCTGAACACTCTGATGTCCAGGTTTCCCATCTGTTGAGGTCCATTCCTAAGGCCTTCAGATCCTGCTTGCAGATATTCTTGTACTGCAGCTGTAGTCTCCCTCTGGGGTGCTTTCCCTGCACTAATTCTCCATACAGGAGATCTTTTGGAATCCAACCTCAGCCATTCTCATGACATGCCCAAGCCAACGTAGATGTCGCTGTTTCAGTAATGTATACATGCTAAAATTCCAGCTTGTTCTAGGACTACTCTATTTGGAACTTTGTCTTGCCAGGTGATGCCAAAAATGCGTCGGAGACAAAGCATATGGAACGTGTTCAGCTTCCTCTCCTGCCGTGCACAAAGGGTCCAGGACTTGCTGCAGTACAGGAGTGTGCTCAGGACACAGGCTCTATACACCGGGATCTTGGTATATGCTGTCAGCTTCTTATTAAGCCATACTCTCTTTGTGAGTCTAGAGAACATGGTAGCTGTTTTGCCAATGCGTTTATCCAGCTCGACATCTGGGGAGAGTCAGAGGTTGTTTAGCCAAGATACAAAAAGTCATGAACAACCTCCAATTCTTGTGTGGAGATGGTAATAGAGGGAGGTGAGTCCATGCCCTGGCCCATGA